AAAAGTGGAAACACTGCTTCTTATTTTATAACTATGGAGTGTAGAGTGTACCTACTCTACACTACATATTTATAACTTTAACTTTTTAATTACTTTTTTTATAACTGGCTTTACGTCTCTGGGTTCTAGATCTTCTGGACCTGAAGTTACAATGTACAATTATCCTTCATAATACACTGCTTCACAATATGTTGATGCGTCACATTGTGCCTACAGTAATCTGTGCATTGTGCAGCCCTTGGGAGATTTTGACGGCAACTTGAGCTTGAGTTGAAGTAAACTTTTACTTCACGCTGGTTATATGTAAGGTCGTGGTCCACCCATTCATTCATTACAGCTCTTCATTCCATGTATTACCAGGTCGTCACTCCATCTAGTCTGGTCCACCCGTGCGACAGCAAAAGTTGCCGTGTGGCTCTTCCACTGTTAAGTTGTCTGCCTATATTATTAACTGTAATCCACTTTGTCATTATTTATGCTGTTACACATAATACTTGGTATTAAGTAGCTTTGCTTTACTTTCCTTCAGTTGGCGACAGGGAGCTGATGATGAATAGTTTTGCATCTTTAAAGTACCTATTTAGTTTGGAAAGTGGGAAAGTGGAAAGTGTGAGAGTGATATCGAAAGAAGAGTGAATGCGGAAACATGGTGAATGGAGCTTTCCACTTCTTTATGAGCAGTCGGAAGGTGTCTAACAAGGCTCGTTTGGCTATGCACGAGGAGGTGTTGGTTCCGACACTCATGTACGGAAGTGAAAGTTGGGTATGGCAGAAGAAATATGAAAGCAGAATAAATGCAGTTGAGATGAGAGCGTTAAGAAGTATGATAGGAGTTAAACTGAGTGACAGGATAAGAAATAGTGAGATAAGGAAACGTTGTGGTCTGAAAGAAGATGTAGTGACAAAAATTGAGAAAGGTATGCTGAGATGGTTTGGCCATGTCGAGAGAATGAATGAAGAACGATTGACGAAAAAAGTGTATAAGGGGAGTGTGAATGAAAGTGTTAGAAGGGGTGCCCCTAGGCGGACATTTCTAGACCAAATCAGGGACGTCTTGAAAAAAGGCCAGGTCAAGAGTACCCTAAACCGTAGAGAATGTATGAAGGGAATAATGAAAGTGGACGAAGCGAAACAAGTATGTAGGGATCGTAGCAAGTGGAAAGAAGTGGTCTCTGCCTACCCCTACGGGAAAGAGGCGTGATGATATGTATGTTAATAGGGCCCCAATTTCATTTTTTCTCCGGGGCCCTTGGTTACATAGCTACGCCACTGAGTGCACTTACGCGGTATCGCGTTTGTTTGACTTGCTTCACTTTCGGTGCGCGTACTAGGATTCTGTACGTAATAATTCTATGGTTTAATAATAATAATAATAATAATAATAACACATCTTTTTCTCATCTGGTTGGGAAATATATTTATATTTCCCAATCAGATGAGAAAACTTTATAGATACCACATAATAATAATAATTCATTTATTTCGGACAAAAAATATCCATAGTTGTTAGTAAATGTTTTCTTATATCTAGTGTTAGTAACATATTGTTGACGACACAAGTATGAAACTGCACCGATGGTGGCAATAAGCCAGTCTACAAGGCAGCATGTAGCCGTATCCAGCGAGCCAACATTGGCGAGTCCCAGCGGTCAGCCAGCGTACGCAGGATGCTGTTGGGGCTGCCGCACACGCGCCGAAGTAGCAATGCACAGCGCTTGCGCATGATTGCAGCGAATCCGTCCGTGTGAGCTTCCGCGAACATGGTGGAGGCGCTGCAGCAGCGCGGCAGACCCCTCAGCACCCTGAACGTGTTATTATATTGTATGCGCAGGTCGCTGTATGCCCTCTACGTATAGTCTACCCACAGACTACACGTGTAAAAGGACTGGCAATAAGCTTTAAAAAGCGTAACTTTAACTTGACTAGAACATCGTGCAAATCTGCGAGCCAACATGTTGCAGCGGACAGACAGCGCCCTTCTTTCTCTTTCAATATCTAAGTTGTCTTTTTGATCCTCCGTGACCCAGTGGCCCAATTAAAACACTCCACCTTCTTTAAAGGAGTACCACCTAACGTAAAATTTGGTATATTAGTGTAAAGCTTATTATCCGGTCTAAATATCATAAATTCACTCTTTATAGCGTTGTATTTAAGCCCCTGGGCCGCTATATAGGATTCACATATATTAATCATTTTCTTTAGAGCACCACTCGATGGGCTCAGCAACACCATATCATCTGCGTAGCTGATATTGTTTACGCAGACTCCGTCTATATGACAACCAATACCAGTGCTGCTGAGCTCATCAATCAACCCGTTCATGTAAAGGTTGAAAAGCATTGGAGAGCTTAGTCCCCCCTGCCTCAGACCGCAATCCAACCTATACTCCTCGGAAAGCGAACCTGCCCATCGTACATTGTTTTTTTCATTATTATACCAGTACTTAAAAAGCGATACAATTTCTCAAGGCAAGTCAGTCTCAAAATTCATTTTATTCCACAGGATCTCATAGGATACAAGGTCAAAAGCCTTCGACAATTCTATATAGCAAGCATATACTGGTGTCTTTCTTGCAGTATAGTACTGGACAGTCTGCTTGAGGCACAAAATAGCACTCTCAGTTGAAAGACCAGGTCTGAAGCCGAACTGTGCGTCATTGAGCGAGACGTACTTATTTAGGCGCCGACTGAGCAAACTGTCCAGTACTTTCGCAATCACCGTAGCCAGGGATATTGGCCTATAATTAGACACATCTGATGAGTCGCCGGTCTTGTTTTTTATAACAGGTACAACTATAGTACGTATTAGGCTTTCAGGTAGATAAGAATGTGCTACACAAAGATTAAAAAACAAAGCTAGTACTCTTGGCAAGTGTACTCCTGCGTACTGTAGATGCTTGATGCTGAGGCTGTCATATCCAGGTGATTTGCCCCGCACCATGCCTTTAATTATTTCCTCTACTTCTTGCGCGCTAAATTTCACACTAAGATATGTACTGCACGCCTCAGCATCAAGCTTCCGCCGCATCGGCTCCAGTGGAGAGTCTACCTTAAAGTGCCGCTGGAACATATTGGCGATATAACGTGGCTCATGAACACCCGCCACGCTCACAGGAAGGCTCGCCTTATAGTTCAGTTTGTTCGTATTTTTCCAAAATTGCCCGAATTTATTATTTTTGTGATGCTCAGCAATCATATCCATTTTTATTTGTTGTTGATTGTTCTGACACCATTTCAGTTTAGATTTAAAAATTCGCCTGGATTTTACACATTTCGTTATAAATACGGCCAGACCTGGGTCTGCCGTACAATGACCACATCTGAAAGCAAAATCGAGCCCTACCGTGAGCATGACGGACGTGTCTATTCCAACCTGGTAGGTACTTAGCATGTCGCTTTTTTCTAACATTATGGCTGCAAACAGCAGCTTCAGAAAGTATGCACACGATATTTTTATACAAGTCATCCAACAATTTTCTGTGATTACTACTATTACACACACTGTCACAACAATTCATAAATTCCACAGGAAAATCTAGGTTACTTAGTCTAGAATGACATTCACTATAATATTTTAATATTTGATTGGTATCACGCTCACCCCATGTGATTTTATTCATACAATTATTTTCTATTGTAGTTATCTTAGGTTTAAAAACATTAAAATTACAGTTTACTAAGACAAGATAGTGATCGGACCAATAAGTGTCATAAAGCACAGATAAAGAAAGTACCGAGTCCAGCGCGGCACTGGTCACCAGGCAGTGATCGAGCCAGCGGCGGCAGCCATGAGCGTCACTGACGAACGTGTGACTATCCGATGCTAGAAGCGCCATGTCCACACACGACCATGACTGTTCATAGTTCAGTAGCAAAAGACTCACTAGGGTGCGCATTGTAATCCCCTAACATAAACACTGACTCCACGTTATGTTTCTCAATAATGCTAGCCATCTCACTGAGACATTCCGTGAATTCCACTACATTTTCACTAGAGTCGGTAGGCATGTATACTGAGAAAATTATAACAGAACGATCGTTGAGCGTGACTTTTATTGCCGCAAGCCGTACACTATTGTACTTTACTACGGATACCGTGGAAAAAATAGCCTTTCTCCAAAGTAAGGCAACTCCGCCGTATGGCCTCCCGCGTAGCACGGCGGCCAATGTATCCATAGCAGAAGTGCCCGTGAAGGCGAAGTCGTTGTCAATGCTTCCGAGGTACGCGAGGTCGTGCGGCAGCAGCCAGGTCTCCTGCAGCGCAACTATGTCATCTGAACGACATATTCTCCGCGCACATTCCAACGATCAGACAATATTCTTACAATTAAAATTTACTAGTTTAACGATACCAGCCATCATGGTTTTAATTCTTCCCGCCAGCCTTATGAGTGCTCCCTGTATCACGTTGCTTAAAGTCAATAAACCGACGATAGGCAACCCTTCCGGCCAAAAGTCTTCTGACATAAATATACCTATTCAATTTATGTTTAGGTACAAATATCTTATAGGATTCATAGTCTTTTGTCATTTTCATATTCATTTTCTCTATGTTTAATGCACAGATTACTGCTGTGTATACTAGAGATGGTTCAATGTTTCTGAAAATGGCCTAAAGGTCTAGATGCCAGGCTATAAACTCCAAAAAAAAATGTTTCTGAACAAGTGCATAAGCATAGACTACAGTACAAATTACACTCGTACTTTAAAGCTATTGGTCATTGGTGGAAATTTAAAATAGCGTAGACAATAGAGTAACGTAAACTGCAACAGCTGAAATCACAAAAATGTCTGTTGTCCGTTGACGCTTGGTGGCGTTTTCTGAGGGTTATTTTGAATTTACTCAGCATTTTTTAATTCTACTCTCCTTATTTTAAGAAAATGTACTCGTGATTAAACAGTTATAAACGTATTTCCGGTATACCAGCATTTTCTTAATTTGCGGCCCGCGTTTTTAGCTGATCTGGTCTTACTCTAGTGTTTACTGATTTAGCGGGGGCAATGGCATCATTCAGAATTCACGAAGATCAAGAAAATGCTGCATTAGGAATTAGAAAAGATGCTGAACTTTTTACAGCAAATTCTCAACGGCGTGCTTTAGGCGATCTCAGTCAGTTCGCTTGCAATCAAAACCGGAACAACAAACTTGTAAGTTTTTGTAACGATGCATGCCAACATCATTTTTGATGTAATAATTGTAATATATTATATTATTTCAGACCGGATTGACGAACGGACCGTGCAAAGTTCAAGATGAAAATAGGACGGTACGTCAGATAAAAAATGAGAAGAACATTGTACCCCCTGTAGCTCAATTTCGCGCGTTTAGTGTGTATGAAGACAAGCCCTCTGAAGTGGAGGTCAAAAAACGCGAGCCGGCTTTCAAACCATTTATTGCTAAGGAGATCAGAAAAGATAACTTCTTTGTAAATGCTGCTGAGAATGTTAAGGCTCTTTGTGCTCAGGTTGAGAAACAGCCAGATCAGTCTAAAGAAAGTACTTCAGCCAGGTAATATTAACAATTATAAATCTAAAATAACAAAAATTACTCAGTTCGTTATTTCCTATTTTTTATTAAATCAAAAATCACCAATAGTTTTATAATATTGGTTATAGGTTATATTCATTATGAAAGATGAAAGATTATAGGGTATTAAAACATCATGTTCATGATATGTAACTACTTATTCTAATATTTAATTCATCATACCAATTCTAAGAAGAATTATAAAATTGTAGAACGTTTTGTTTTTTTTTCTTTTGAATATGAAAGGTAGTAGAGGTCAATATTATAATAAAATTAGGTCATATGTCAAAGCCATGGCAAATTGGTAGGTACCACTTGAAAAGCAGTGAAGGAAATAAATGTGATTAAACCTGCATCTCTGACAAGTCATTGTGATCAGTCAGTCTTAGGAATGAATGGACTGTTACGTTAGTTTTAGGACATAATATAATGCTAAATATTGTATAGTAATCATATCAATTATAGTAATTATATGCTTTGTATGAATCAAAATATTAGTAACATTGCTATGGTAGCTCACAGGCTTAGTGCTTGCTGTAAATTTCATAGTACATGAGCCACCCCCGCCAGCACCAATAAAATTGTTAATTGCAATTTTAAGTGTTGATTCCCACATGCTCAGCAATGCTTGTCTAAAAAATAATTAAAAAATCACAAATAATTAAATCTCCATTTCTTGAGAAACCTGATGACCTGATTATCTATATAAAGCTCTTATTCTAATTACAATAATATGTGTTCATTGATTGGCCAGTTTAAACCAATGAATGAATGTTATCACTCTATATCCAATGTGCAGGAAAGATAGTGTTGACATTTCATGATGGGTATGCAACATGATGCCATAAGCTCATTCACAGATGTTACCCTAGTACAATTTGTGAATGTGTTGTATATGCCATCTTTAGTTAACAAACCTATACTACTGTTTAGACAACAGTTATTGATATCATTTATTTTGGAAATAGGCAGAAACAGCAGTTAATTAAATTGGTTGAAAATAAATTTACATTAGACAAACATACTTGTGGCACTTATCTCCTATTCACTATATTTATTTCACTTTAGTATTTTAAGTTTATTTTAGTATTTTACATTTCCTTAAAATAGGCTTCCACTACAAGAGAAGAAAGATGTGGTACAAGAAAAAGAGGTTATTGAATCACCTATGTCAATTGTGGATAACAGCATATTATCCATGTCAATATCAAAAAATGAGAGCCAAATTCTTGATGAGAACCTTGAAGAGGAAGATGTAACCACTGCACAAACTGACCGTGAAATGTTCTTTCATGTTGTAGAATACCGTCAGGACATTTATGAATATATGAGAGAGATTGAAGTAAGTGAATTTGATTTCAGATAGATGTCATTTTAAATCATGTAGAATTATGTTTCCAATTTTAAATTAATGACTTATGTTATGAATTATACCTATGGTTTTGACTAAAACTACTGTGAGAGGTTGTAAACTGGTTTTCTTCCTTTCTACTTTATATTGTTTTAATAGTTTGGTCAAAGTACTACGCCTGGCTACTAAGTGGCAGGGCTTAGGATGCTACTACACATTGCACATTTGGTTATTTTACATCTGGCATAAATGAGAAATAATTAAAAACTGCTATAACTGGACTGCACAACTAATCCACAATTTAAATGAATGTGATACTTATAGCAATCTTAGAGACAGAAATCCATTAACTCTTTAAGAATATTTATCAAAATTAAAAAGGAGGAGGTTCTCAATTTATTCTAACAGTGGTAGAGCCACACGGCAGCTTTTGCTGTCGCACGGATGAGCCGGCTCGAACCGGGGTAGTACCACGACCTCACAGAAAACCAGCGTGAAGTAGAGGTTTACCTCTGCATTTCACTTGGTGAGTGCAGGTGGCCGGAGGCCCTTTTTACTGGAAATGAGGCATTCCATCTTAGTCCTCATGGGTGACAATGCATCTACATTTTGATTTGTAACAGAGGATAGATGTAGATGTCTATGGACCGCAGCAACCACTTACCATCAGGTGGACTGTGTGCTCGTTTGTCACCCTTATCCTATAAAAAAAAAAATTTAAGTGTATGTTTTTTTTTTGTATGTATAATAATAAATACTGGGTTTCTTGCTGGTTCTTCCCAGGACAGAGGTATTTTCCGAACCAGTAGTAAATAAAAAATGACTTTCAATAAGCATTATGTAATAATCAATATTGAATAAAAAATTATTCTATTCTATTCTATAATAGCCTTTATTTCAGACAGTATTTCATTTACAGTATTTATCTGGATTATTCTATATCTAATACTGGATTACATATTATATATGTATATTTAGACTCTCAACACTTAACTATTGTACACCGACAAACCTGTCTGTATGCCACTTATTGGCAAAGGCCTCCTCCAACATTTTCCATTCCTCTCTATTCTTAGCAGTTCTCGTCCATATGCCTCCTGCTATGGCTTTAATGTCATCCTCCCATCTTCTTTAGTATCAATTAGTTCATTATCAATTTGGACCATTTCTCCTTTCCTCTAATTATATGGCCTGACCATTTCCATTTTAACTTTTTTATTATTATTGTGACATCTTTTGTTTTCACATGTTTCTTTATGATTTCGATTCTTATTCTATCGGATAGTCTTTTCCCCATCATAGTCCTTTCCATGGAGTTTTGGCAAGTTTCTAGCTTTTTAATGTGCTTTAGTGAGTGCCCAGGTTTGGCAGCCATAAGTGAGTAAAGGTAGTATGCTGGTATCAAAGAGTTTCCGTTTGATGGTTATGTTAGTATCGTTATTTTTCATTATTTCTTTTAGGCTCCAAAATTGTTTCCAAGCATTTCCAATGCGTCTGTCAATTTCTTTTGAGGTTAGATTTACAGGAGAGATTATCTGGCCCAAATAGATGTATTCATTAACATATTCAATCGGGTTATTATTGATCAGAATAGGTTTTTCCTTGTCATTGGTCATAGCCTTGGTCTTTAATTTGTTCATGACCAATCCTATATTGCCACTTTCTTTAACCAGGTCATTCAGCATTGCCTGCAGTCCGTCACTAGATGACGAGAGGATTAACAAATCAGTGGCAAATATCAAATGTGACAGGTTTTCACCGTTAATGGACAGTCCACATTTCTCCCAGTCTAATTGACGACAAAAGACTTCTTCCAAAACAGCTGTGAACAGTTTCGGCGATAGCGGATCGCCCTGACATACTGCTGCTGCCGTGTACGCCTCTTCCTATTATAATATCTTTACCTTCCTTCTCTAGTTTTATCTTAGCCTTGCTGTTATCATAGATATTTTTTAATATTCTGATGTATTTATTTTCAATACCTTGGTTTTTGAGTGCCTGCCAAATTTTTTCATGCTCTATTTTATCGAAAGCTTTACTATAATTCACAAAGCAGCAGTAAAAGGTTATGTTGTATTTATTGGCTTTTTCGAATAGTTGCTTGATGACATGAATGTGGTCTAAAGTTGTGTATCCGATCCTGAAACCCACATTTTTTTTTTTTTATAGGATAAGGGTGACAAACGAGCACACAGTCCACCTGATGGTAAGTGGTTACTGCGGCCCATAGACATCTACATCTATCCTCTATTACAAATCAAAATGCAGATGCGTTGTCACCCGCAGGACTAAGATGGAATGCCTCATTTCCAGTAAAAAGGGCCTCCGGCCACCTGCACTCACCAAGCGAAACGCAGAGGTAAACCTCTACTTCACGCTGGTATTCTGTGAGGTCGTGGTACCACCCCGGTTCGAGCCGGCCCATCCGTACGACAGCAAAAGCCGCCACGTGGCTCTACCACTGTTAATTTTTATTGTTATTTATGTTATTTTTACCTCCTTTTTTGTGTAGAAGTACTATTGATGACATTGTCCATTGGTAAGGTATTATCTCGCTTTGTAAGACTTCATTGAAAAGATGTTTGAGAATTGGTATCAGGTGGTTTCTATTTAGGATGAGGAACTCGTTACTTATGCCATCTAATCCTGGAGCTTTATCTTCTTTTTGAGTTCTCACAGCTTTTTCTATTTCTTCGTGTATTATATCCGGTACTTCACTTAATCCTGTTAAGATTGTTGTCTGTGCAGTGTTTTTCCTTGAATACAATTCTTCAAAAAATTGAGTGGCTATTGATAGGATTTAAGGGCGTCGCTTCTCGCATTTATGATTTTTATTTATTGAAGTTGGTATGCAATCTCGTTTTTCCAATAGAAGTTTAGCTGCTTTTTTGGTGCCTCTGGTGTTCCAATCTATATCTCTGATGGTCTTTTCTCATGTGTGTTTTTATTTTATTATTTAAATTAGCTATGTCTTTTCTTATAGTTTTTGTCTTATCGGGGTTAGATAAGTAGAGAAGTAGAGCAGACCTTATGTCTGCTCTACTTCTTATCAGTTCTTTAGTTTTGTTTGTTACCCATTTTGTCCTGTTGTTTTTACTTTCCTTTGAATCCTTACATTCTTCGAATTTATTGTATTTACTCTGTATGTCTAAGGTCCCTTATTTTTTCTATATAAACTGTTCTAGCTTTTCTTTTAGAGAATCGGTATTTTTAGTGTTAAGCTGTTGGTTTGTTTTACTTTAAAGGGTCTATCTTTGAGTGTGTTTATTTGTAACTTAGCTCTTAGCATCCTGTGGTTGTTTAAAACTACAGTCCCGAAAGTCTTTACTTTTGTTTGTTAGTATGTGATCTATCTCGTTTTTGTGGTGACCATCTGGAGATATCCATGTCCATCTGTTGTTCTCATGTTTTCTGTATAGAGTGTTTAGTACTTTTAAGTTGTTTTCATATGCCAGTTGAACAAGTTTCTCCCCATTTCTTGTTCTTTTGCCTGAACAATATGGACCCAATATTATTTGTTCTCCATCACCTCTTGTCCCTGTTCTTGCATTAAAATCTCCCATCACTACAAAATTGTTGTGCAAGTGTTTGATTATTGCGTCTTGTAACATGGAGTAGAAGGTGTCGATTTCTGTTCTACTTGATTGTTCAGTTGGAGAGTAGACTTACACAATCAACCACTTTTCGTTTTTCGGAGGTAGTTTTATATTCAGTATAACAAAACGCTCTAGAGACGCCAATGAACTTGTCAATAAATGGATTTAATTCATTTGTATTAAGAATCCTGTTCCATATAAGCCTGGTGTTTCTCCTTTATAATAAAATATAAAATGCCCATGGTCTTCTATACTCTCCCCTAGTTGTCGGACTTCACTCAAACCCAGTATTGACCACTTTACATTTTCTGTTAGACTCTCATTGGTTCTTAAAGACAACATATTGTTGGCCTCAATGTGTATTTTTTGTATGTATGTTACGAAATATCTTCGCAGATTGTGAACCAATTTTGATGATTCTTTTTTTAATAAAGAGGTTGTACTTCAAGGGTGGTCCTATAGAAATTTGAAGAAAAAATTCCACACCTAAGGGTAGCAAATAAATAACTACTTTTTTGTCAATTTGAACCCAGTTTTTATTTTTGTTAAAAGTTATAGTTATATTAGATGTAATTGTGGTGGAGTTACAATTTTATTATATTAAGGTTCTCGAGTGGCAGCCTCGTACCGGCAGGCGAAGTGTAGGGCGTCCCCCCACTAGATGGAGTGACGACCTGGTAAGATATGCAGGAAGTCGATGGATGCAGGTGGCTCAGGACCGTGCTTTGTGGTATTCTTTGGGGGAGGCCTATGTTCAGCAGTGGACTTGTGAAGGGCTGTAATGATGATGATGATGATGGTTGCATTGTGAATGGATCAGCTTGACTGGAGAAGGGCCACACCCTCACAGAATACCAGCATAAAAATAACACCTAAATGGTGGTGAATGTAAAGCACCAGAGGTCCTTTTTATTGCATCCCATTTTAGTTCTATTAACATTAGAGAATATGGAATGATGATTTTGTCATTTTTCATAGGTATTAATCAGCCTAAGCTTTGTCTTGTCTCTCTCTATTGTTTAGCCCGGGTGTTCGAGCACAGTGGGACAGTAATAAAAACCCATTCTTCAAATTTTTTACAGCCCATATCCTCTTAAGTTACCAAATCATTATAAAATCATATGTTTGGTGCATATTTTTGTTAATAACTAACTAGAGGCCACATAGCTATGAAGTAAAAGTGTCTGATCACATGACAACACCTTTTTTATCCAAAATAGTCTACTTGATGATAAGTGGATGGTATAGTATAGCCCACACTTACCCTACATCTATCTTTGATTAAACAATTATAATGCAGATACATTATAACCCTCTTTTTTCAAGGAGAAATAAAACCTAATGGCGTGTCATCCTCGCACCATATAGAGGCAGGGCATCAGAACGCCTTCGCAAACTTTCGCGGTTCCGCCTGCACTTGCCGCTGGTCAAAAAGAACAATTTCTCCCCTTTTTCCTTTTGAGAAAGGCGCTGCCTACCTGCGCATCGGAACACTAGTTCTTTACGAGGAGGCCATGGGTCCAGGAAAATGGTGCTCAACCTACGCGGTGAATCATTTCTTTGGTTCGGCCCAACGACCATGTTTCGGTAACGGAGATTATGAACTGCGGCGCACAGTAATATCGACAGTCCTCCCCCTCCGTGGCCGCGCACCGCCAACGCATCACTGGAGCGAGTGGCGCTCTGCTATACCAACACTGTTCTTATACCGCGACTGCATTTCTGCTGCTGAGCACAGAGTGTAAGGGCTATTCCTCCCTCTGCAGTCCACCAACATGTATCCGGAGGCTCGTGAACTCACCCAAAGCGGTTTTCTCTGGTTGGTAATAATGTATACACATGTAGCACTATAATACAAATCTATCTTATGTTCAGTTGATGACAACCAAAAATATTTGCATTATCACTGTTTCAACAATGTATCAATATTCAAAGTTCTAACTGTAGTTGAAACTGTTGTTGGAATTTTATTTAATATTATTTGTTTTCCGCCAGGTTAAAAACAGAGCTAACCCACGCTATATGAGGAAGCAGCCAGATATCACGCATATGATGCGCTCAATACTGATTGACTGGCTCGTCGAGGTATGTGACGAGTACGGACAACAGAGTGAGACACTACACCTAGCTGTGTCTTACGTTGATCGCTTCTTGTCCTACATGAGCGTGGTACGCACTAAACTACAACTGGTTGGAACAGCTGCTACATATATAGCTGCGTAAGTATTAATAAAGTGACGATTTCAATTCATTATTTAGTTTGAGTGACTTAAAAACATTTGATAAAAAGTAAAAACTGACTTCAAGAACTCAAATAATGCTAATATAACAGAAGTTGGTACTAAGAAGTGTGAAAATTGTATTTTTTTAACTCCTTGAAATCAGTTCTTATTAGTAAGTTTCTCTTATCCTTTTGTTTCTACTAAGGAATATCACAAGCTCAAGGTTACAAATAAAATACTGTCTAAACAGTTTCAATAAAATCTTCACCCCCTATTTTTGCATCATTCTGAGTCGAATTTTTATAAGTTTGAGTGGGATCACCTTTGATGTATAGCCTATGTAATATAAAAGAATTATTAAGATTAGTTCACAATTATTGCTAAGATATCGTGTATTAACATACATACAAAAACTTGAGACTTGACTTGAGACCCTCATCCTTTTTGGATCTGCTAATAAAAGAGGCACTGGTAATTAAAATATTATGGATAATAGAGTTACAATCACTGTCTACAGGGGTGGCCCTAGTAAAGTTTTTAGGTTGGGCGAAATCTCAAAGTGGCGCCCCTCTAAATACAAAACCTTAGTGTTCCTATACTATGCAGTTGCTTATTTGTGCTTTTTTTTTATAAATAGTATTAAACCTACCAAATATCTACAGGAGTATCTGCAGAGCAAACACATTGGTGTCTGTCGCTTTTGACATAGTAGCTGTTTGCTCATTTGTGTTAAAGAAATGTTATTCATTCTGCTTGCACTACTCTGTTGCACTCGACAAAGCCACTGAGCATATGATCATCATCATCATTACAGCCCTTCATAAGTCCACTGCTGAACATAGGCCTCCCCCAAGGATTGCCACAAAGCACGGTCCTGAACCACCTGCATCCATCGATCCTCCTGCATGTCTTACCAGGTCGTTACTCCATCTAGTGGGGGTCGCCCTACACTTCGCCTTTTGGTAAGAGGCTGCCACTCGAGAACCTTTCTTCCCCATCGGTTGTCGATAAAATATATGATAAATCATCATCATTCATCATTACAGCCCTTCACAAGTCCACTGCTGAACATAGGCCTCCCCCAAAGAATGCCACAAAGCACGGTCCTGAGCCACCTGCATCCATCGACTTCCTGCATGTCTTACCAGGTCGTCACTCCATCTCGTAGGGGGACGCCCTACACTTCGCCTACCGGTACGAGGCTGCCACTCGAGAACCTTTCTTCCCCATCGGTTGTCGGTTCTTCGAGCTATATGGCCGGCCCACTGCCACTTCAGCTTACTAATTCGTTGGGCTATGTCAGTTATTCTGGTTCTACTGCGGATATCCTCATTCCTAAGTTTATCACGCAGAGAAACTCCGAGCATAGCCCTCTCCATAGCTCGCTGAGCGACCTTGAGCTTCCTCACACGGCCAGCAGTGAAGGACCACGTCTCAGTTCCGTAAGTCATCACTGGCAACACGCACTGGTTGTACAATTTCGTTTTAAGGTTTTGAGGTATGTCTGACGAGAATATGTGTCGTAGCTTCCCGAACGCTGCCCAGCCGAGTTGAATCCGTCGATTGACCTCTCGGTCGAAGTTGGACTTACCTTGTCGGACTATTTGTCCCAGGTAAACATACTCGTCAACAACTTCGAGCTTAGTGCTCCCAACAACTACCGGCATAGGTGTGACATGGACATTAAACATGATCTTTGTTTTGTCCATGTTCATCTTAAGACCTATCCGTTGGGAAACACTATTGAGGTCATTGAGCATAGTGCTTAGGCCCTGCAGCGATTCTGCCATAAGGACTATATCGTCGGCAAATCGAAGGTGAGTGATGTACTCGCCATTGATGTTGATACCGTATCCTTTCCAGTCCAGAAGCTTGAAAACGTCTTCCAATGCAGCGGTGAAGAGTTTCGGGGATGTGACGTCACCCTGTCTTACACCTCTCTGCAATTGGATAGGTTTCGTAGTCTGGTTCTGTACTCGGATAGCCATCGTAGCCCTACTGTACAAGCACTTCAACACTTCGATATACCGACAGTCAACTTGGCACCGCTGAAGGGACTGCAGCACCGCCCAAATTTCGACGGAATCAAAGGCTTTCTCATAGTCCACATACGCCAGACATAGTGGCAAATTGTACTCTTCGGACTTCTGTACAACTTGCCGAAGGGTATGTATGTGGTCTATGGTGCTAAAGCCCTTTCGGAAACCGGCTTGTTCGGGAGGCTGGAAGTCGTCAAGTCTGCGCGCGAGACGATTCGTAATGACTCTCGAAAACAGCACGTAGACGCGGCTCAGAAGGGAAATCGGTCTGTAGTTCTTCAAGAGAGCGTTGTCACCTTTCTTGAAGAACAAGACCACCGCACTTCCGCTCCACGCTTCCGGTGTAATGCTACCATGGAGGACGGAATTAAAGAGCCTCTGAAGGACTTCAAGTACCGGTCTTCCACCCGCTTTCAGAAGCTCCGCTGTAATTCCATCCTCGCCTGGGGCCTTACCGTTTTTAAGGTGCTGGAGAGCCATTCTAATCTCGCTCAGACTGACGTCCGGGATATCTTCGGAATAGTGTCGGATGAGACTCGCTCTTGGATCGTTACTCACACTTGCGTGTGGCTCCAACGATGACGTGTACAGCTGCCCATAGAACCTCTCAATCTCACTCAAAATCTCAGGTGTCCCGGAAACGATGCTGCCACATTCGGTCTTCAGCTTTGACAGTTGGCTCTTTCTGGCAGACAGATCTCTGGCAAAGACTTTGGAGCCTTGGTTCCGCTCTATCGCTTCTTCAATACGAGCTGTATTGAAGTTGCGTAAGTCCCGCCGCATGCATTTGGAGATCTGTCTGTTCAGATGCCTGTATGCTGTCAAGTCTGTTGAAGAATGTAGCTTCATCTCCCGTCTAAAAGCCATGAGATTAAGAGTGTGATCGGAGAGTTTTTGTGTTCTTCTGCGGCGGGTCTTGCAGAACTTAGCTCCGACCGCATGGACAGTTTCCACGAGCTTGTCATTCAAATCGTCCACTTCATTGCAGTCTTCTAGGCACTGAAAACGGTTTTGTAACTCGAGCTGAAAGGTTTCGGGACTTTGGATTAGAGCACGAGGGGGACGGAGCGTTGACTTCATTAGACGAGACCTCTCCAACTTAACGTTTAGGTTCAGTGTGCCTCTAACCATTCGGTGATCGCTACCAGTTTTCACCCTCGCGATCACGGAGACATCACTGAACAGTTGTCGTCTGGTCGTCATAATGAAGTCAATCTCATTTTTTGTCGAACCGTCGGGGCTCGACCAGGTCCACTTCCTGTGGGGCCGCTTCTGGAAGAAAGAGTTCATCATAAAGAGTCCCTCTTTCTCCATGAAGTCGGCCAGCTGCTGGCCCCTTGGGTTCCGTTGCCCTATTCCAAATTTCCCTACTTTCAGCTCACCGTTCTCTCTTGTGCCTAGTTTTGCATTGAAGTCTCCCATTAACACCGTATATTGGGTTTTGGAGGAATGCATGGCTCTAGAGATATCCTCATACATTTCCTCCACCTCCTGATCGGGGTGTGCCGAGGTTGGTGCGTAAACCTGTATGACCTTCAGCGAATACCATTTGGTGATTCTGAGTATAAGGTACGCAACCCTCGTCGACACACTCCCGATCTTTACAACGTTGTTAACGAGAGACTTGTGGACGATAAATCCGACACCTCCTTGGAACAGATGGTCGCCCTCCCGGTGATAGAGCAAGTTGCCGGATTCGAGGATTACCGTGTCCTCCCCCTCTCTTCGGACTTCGGATAATCCGATAATATGCCAGCGCAACTTGTCTATCTCTTCTTCCAGCTCCACGATCTTCTCGTCAGTCCTCAGGGTGCGTGCGTTGTACGTTGCCAGGTCGAGTCGTCTAAGGTGGCAACCGAACCTCCACCGGAGATTCTTAGCACCCCCTGCCCCGCCGTTACCATGGTCGCCACCGTAGCCAGGAATAGCGGGGCCGCCGGGGACTGGGGGCCGTCTGTTTGTTGCTTTAGTCATTGGGGGGTATTTGCCATAGTTGCCACGCTTGGCGAGCGGGTTGGCAACCGCAGTTTTTTTATTATAATTTTGGCTATTATCAGGGAGATGCTGCTGCCCATCTTCTGCCTGTTTCCCTTTGTCGCCTTTTACGACACCCACGGGAGGATATGGGGTAGTGGATATTCTTGACCGCCACTACACGGCAAATTGATAAATAGTAACAATTAATCATTTAGTTTGACAACTTTTATTAAATAATTCAGTTACGCAGTGTTAAAAAAGATTAAAGAACTACTACGAATTTAATGGAAAACCTAGATGGCCACCTTTCTGGATTTTGCTCTTACTAATATTTTTATTAATTCGGGATAATGTAACTTAGGGGCTATAGCATTTTCTATGGACAATATTGCAAGATATAGCAGTCTTTCCTGACCTATTATAGAAGCATAGATAAGTTTTATAAGTTTAAATGTATTGAAACTTTGTTCCCCTTTAGCGACAGTTACAGGTATAGTCAGCAAGATAAGAATTGCTGTCCACACATTTGGAAAAATATCCCACCAATCATTATTTTTAATAAGTCTGAGAACTTTAAGTGGTTCTGCTGATTGAATATCTTTAAATAATCAAGGTCATAATTTCCTCAACCACTTCACAACTAGACCGATCACATTTTCCTCCATCTGTTAAACTAATTTGTATATCAAGACAGGCTTTTTCCGATATGGACCTTCCAGGAATTATTTTCATGTTGTATAAAAGTGACCATGTATTTTGATAGTTGTACAATTTGAGTGACCAAGCACTTTAAATTTTATTAATCATAGGGTAAAAAATTTTCATTTTAAACAATTCTTCAGGATCAGTTGGTGTCTCATCTATGGCTTTGTATTCAAATAGTTGTTTCTTTCTTCAGGATCAGGCTGGCTTCAGAATTATATCTATCCATTATTAAGGCAGACTGATGAACAGGCTTAATACTGTTTAACAAAAGCCTTAGCAGTTTTTCAGAAATAATGACGCGTTTGGTAAAACCATAGATTCAGACTGCATCAGCCTTACTTTCAATGTTAACTTGAAACAATATATCATACCACGCCGCCATTGTAACGAATGCAAGTTGCTTCATACACTGAATTAGCGACAACGGTTCTGATGCTGCAATTGAGTTATTTGTTTCTCCATTAAGATTAACACCCTTGTCCCATCATGAGCATCATCAACTGAAGAGTAGTGAAAGCAAACTGTAGAAAGGCTAGAAACTACTTCTATATTCTTGCATATTTCTTCCTATCGCGTCTTTGGAGAAATCCAGATAAAGAAACTAATTTAACGTAAGTTTTGACTGCATCAGGTTCAGCTCAGCTCAGCTTCATCAGCCAAATTCAAAGTGTGACAACTACATGGAATGAAAAATGCCCGAGAATATTGAGTCAGAGTACTGGTTAAGACACCTTTAATTATTCCTGCCATGTTCACTCCATTATCGCACCCTTGACCTCGGCAATCATTCATATCTAAGTCAAACTCTTGTGCAATAATTGCATCAAGAAATAGGCCAGTGAGTCATTCTTTCAAATAGTCTCTTACCAGCTTGTAAGCAATAAAACACTGATTATTCAACTTCTAGGGTCAACAAAACGGAATGTTAGTGATATGATTAAGTGAGTCGGTAACCAGTGCCCGGTGGTAGTCTTTCGGTTGATTTTGGCGCCTCATCGATGACGGCGCGCGATGCAGTCGCATCGCTCGGACCGCCCTAGGGCCGCCACTGACTGTCTAGTTATATTGGGTATGTTCCGACATACACTGCGAGCACTGCTCAGTGCTGTCACTGGTGAAAAATTCGTTCCGTAATGAACTGCCAGTATACTGCCGCAGTACCCTAGGGAAATATATGACGTCATAAATCGCCGCCATTTTTGTGCTGTGAGCACTGGCGCTTTTTGAGGTAAGGTGCTCGCAGTACTTTGATCACGTGATCAAAAAACGTAACAGCGCCTTGAGATTTAACAGCTTCCACTAATTATTGTTATTATTATTAATTAATATTGTTGTTCAAATAAACTCGGAAGCAGCATTAAGTTTTAAAAGCAGCAACATTCAAGTAATAATTTTTCTTGTTTTTTTTTTTAGAATAGTGTGACAAACAAGCACACAGTCCACCTGATGGTAAGTAGTTGCTGTGACCCGTAGACATATATATCTATCCTCAATAAAGAATCAAAATGCAAATGCGTTGTCTACACTCACCTTAAAAAACATAGCAGTGCTAAGCTGCTGTTTTACGCTGGTATTCTGTGAGAGCGTGGACCTTCCCCGGTCGAGCCGGCTCTGTCGTGCTACAACTATACTGCTAATATAGCTACAGCATGGCTTACCATGTTGAACAGAAAACATGTACATGATAATTATTTTCATTTGAAAACAGTCGAAAAATGGGGATGACAATATACTGCACTGCATTCCATTTTAAACAGTAACCAGAGGGCTATCGTAATTTCAAACGTCTCCCATCTTTGACGCTATTCATGTCGTCTGTTTACGTAAAACATGGAGATATATGGCATTGTTTAAGGTGAAAAAGTGGGAAAAGAAACATTTATATAAAAAGGAGAAATAAAAGAAATAGTGAAGAAACTAACCACATGATAGTAGTATGAAATTTGTCTTACTTTCACCATTTTATAGCAACCTTTCACAGTTTTTTAATTCGCAATTGTCAAGAGATACAATATATAATAAAAAAGATTTAAATATATTTGCACATAATTAAAATATAAGCTATTTGTTCACTGTATTTTATATATTTTATAGGAAATATGAAGAGGTTTACCCACCAGAAGTGTCAGAGTTTGTGTACATCACCGACGACACCTACACAAAGCGTGAAGTACTGCGCATGGAGCACCTTATACTGAAAGTGTTATCATTTGACCTCTCCACGCCGACATCGCTCGCCTTCCTCTCCCATTATTGCATTTCTAATGGACTTTCGAAGAAGACCTTTCATTTGGCCGCAGTAAGTATTATTTCATTGTACTTTACTATATTAGATTATATAAACAATCCGTTATAATAGCATACATTAAAGTTACTAACCACAGTACAATTTGGGGAAAACAATTAGGCGTATGAAAGGAATGTGGTTGCGGCGCTCACACACCGCCTCTATCTCCGCGCTTCCTCTAGTGACCAACCACTGCTCACTGTTCTGGTGTTCCCTCCCTAGTTCTAATAATGTCTTTGTTGTCATGTGCCTAATTGTTCTGGTCACGTAGTACCTATTAATTTATAATCTATATATCGCACTGATAGTACAATACTGCTGTAACTCAAAATATGTTCAATTTGAGATAACATCATATTTACACGCAAAAATCAGTTCCCTACGCGTCAATAATACTGTCGTTAGAATAGTGCAATAAACAAATGTGATGGCTTTGTCACTGTTTATGATTAACCAACTTTTGTACCACCCAATATTGTGTCATCTTTAGTTAAGATCGAAACTCTGCTAAGAACGGTGTGCCGCATTGTGTTTTAGACCGCATTAATTCGAATTGGAACATTATTGCGGAACAGGTATGTAAAAGTTAAACCATTTAATTCCAGTTAATGCATTATAGTTGATTTAAACCTAAAGATAAATTTGGTGGTGTATTTCTAGTTGTTTACACTATTATTGATTCACAAAAATGAGATTTAAAATAACATATTTACTTACGACATTCTTGTTTGTTTAGTAAGTAATTTTAGACTTAATACAGTTTTGTTGAAGAATTTTCATTACCGTGTTTCTTGTGATAATTTGTTAATATTTAAACAAATACTTATTTGTTAATCACAGCATTAAAAATCACGCATTCAAACATGTTAAAGTAAAAATAAGAATATTCTTTATTAACTATTTTTTAAAATAATTTAGAGTTATTACATTCTTTGTGCCACATTCAATGTACTTATATAAGGTGTCTTACTCAATAAATACTTGTTTTTTTTTTTGTAGAATAAGTATGCACCTTAGGCGATTGTTCGTTGATATGGCGACAAAAACAAAGTCAAACAATCACCAGGAGAAGGAAAACGACGAACCTTCATAATTTAAACCAGTGAGTGCAAACAATAAATGGTCCCAGAATGACGACAACGAAGCGGCGAAAGAACAACCGGCGTCCCTGATAACTTCACCTTCTACAATAATTAATCCAGTTCTTCAAGAAATTAACGTGAACAATACACTGAGTATGTCTAGTAATGTTGAATCTATGACTCAATCCAACCAAACAAAATATTACATTTCACCCCTGCACACAGATGAGAGTGATTTTGATGATTCCGACTATGACCCTCATTTTATTCCTGGTTCAACCAGTAAAGCCCCGAGTTTACTTCGAAGTGGAGCAACATAACCGTCATGTAGTTTTTCGTCAAGTAGCTCTTCTTCCAGTAGCTCTTCATCAAGTAGCTCAGATGAGGAAGCTGAGAATGCCTTAAACCCCTTTGCATCAACTAGTAGATCAGCAATTCAAACGGCTACAGAGTCAAATGTTTCCTCAGAAGTGCAGGACAAAAGACAAGGCATAAAGAGGGTATGTAATGTATTAAATTGAAAAAGTAAAATAGCTAAAACAGTTTGAAATACTGGTAAAGCATACCAATGGGCGACTAACAAACCGTCACCTGCAAAGAAGGTGGGGTCAGACATGTGGCGAAAAATGCAAGTTAAATTGTTCTTCAAAGATAAATGAAACATCAAGACAGAAAATTTCCAACAATTATTGGAGTTTGGGAGATTTACAAAAACAAAGAGAATTTATAATTAGACATACTAGGGACAGTTCAAGTATTACGTAACGCAGTTTTTGAAGATTTTTGACCCTCCCACCCCCTATGTAACGCGCCGTAATGTTTATCTAGACCCCCCCCCCCCCTAAACGTTACGTAACACCCAAGTGACCATTTTTACCTAAAAGTCACAATTACTTTGCGCAAATTACCGGAAAGTCGCTCAAATAACTTTGTTATTGTTTTAATCGCGTTTGCGGTAATAATAAATAAAACGAGATTTCTTCCTCGCAATACATTGTTGATTGTTTATTTTATTTATTCATATTGTTATTTAATAAACAATCACACAATGTAATAGTAAACATTTGCTTAAGTTTAAAATATGTTAAAATGGGCTCAAATCAGTCCTAATAAACTTTTACTACTAACCTTACATTTAATTACGCCGTTTTTTTAACTTGGCCTTTTCTTTACATACATTTTATTAAATAAACTCCTAAAATAAAATAACATATTTATTTTTACCTTTGGCAATGCAATGTAAAAAGCAAACAAAAACTTGTGTCTGAAGTCGAGTCTTTGCTCAACAAAGTCTCGGATTGGGGGCGACTAAATCTAGTCCAGTTCATTCCCCAGAAGACACAGTTTTGCGCGTTTACCGCTAAAAAGAACCCCTTTGTCGTATCTCCTCAGTTTCAAGGCACTCCCCTTGCTACCTCAGCTAGCATCGGAATCCTCGGCAGCGACATATCGAATAAAGTGCAGTTTCGTGGTCACTTGGAAGGGAGGGCCAAATTGGCTCCTAAAAAGCTAGGTGTGCTCAACAAAGCGAGACTGTATTTTATGCCGGCACATCGCTTGCAATTTTACAAAGTGCAAGTCCGGCCTCACATGGAATACTGTTCTCATCTCTGGATCGGGGCACCCCAGTGCCAGCTCCTTCCACTTGACCGCATCCAGCGCAGAGCGATTCGAATCGTCGACGACCGAGTTCTTTCTGATACACTGGCACTGCTTAGGGATGTTGCATCCCTTTGCATTTTCTATTGAATTTACCACGGGGAGTGCTCTGAGGAATTGTTGGATTAATTCCAGCCGCCAAATTTCACGAGCGCACATCGCGTAAAAATTCACGGTACCATCCTCACCATCTTGATGCTTGGCGGTCTACGACTGTGCGTTTTCTTCCTCGTACAACTTCTCTGTGGAATTGTTTATCATCGGCGATTTTTTCCGGACCGCTACGACTTAGGGACCTTCAAGAAAAGAGCTTACATCTTTCTAAAAGGCCGGCAATTCCCCTGGTGTTGCGGTTGTTCATGGGCGGCGGTAGTCACTTACCATCAGGTGAGCCGCATGCTCGGTTGCTCTTCTATAAAAAAAAAATGTTTATGCGGCGAGATGACGCCTGACAGTCGTTTGCTGAGCCTGAACCATGCGCCGCTCTACTCGGTTGTATACGCTCCGCCCAGGAGCATTAGTCGCTATGAACAGGACGACAAAGTTGTATTTAGTGAAGTGTCGAATGGCAAAGTTCTTGACTTGTCGGCCCGCTCGCGTATGTACACGCACCCGTTTTTGTTGAAGAGTACGCGAAATCGTTGGGACATTAAGCCTTGCTGACAATAGTGTTGTTGGCATGCTTAATGTTTGGATAGGTAGCTAAAAATATATAATACTTATGATCAGTTCTTTTACGAAATATCTAGGTTTGGTTTATATATCATATACCTACCTAGAATACGTAATATTATTATATTTTAGCAGTAAACATACTTGTGTGAAATAACTAAGCATTGTTGCTTTCTTCTTCGTGGCCTTCACCTTGAACTCTCGTATAACATCATTTATATGTTCTATAAACTTTTCTTTATTTTTTAGTTTTCCTTTAGCCGTTATCCAAATTTCGTTGGCATTCTTTTGGCACAGTTGTGCTGGCAAATCAGCATGAGAGCCTTTATGTGCCAAGAAAAGCTAATGATGCAAATCTTCCTCTTTTGAGGATATTACAGTATGAACTCACTTGTAACAACTCTGACTACAGCAATGTGCTTCTGCGTAAGATGAATACTGATAACGAAAACAAAATAAATATGACGTACAATACAGTCGAGGGATTCCCCGTAAAACAGACAAAAAAGATTACCAACTTGGGAAGACAAAATAAAAATGACGTACCATACAATCGAGGGATTCTTCATAAAACATAAACGAAAAGGGTTGCTAACTTGGGAGATTTAAATTCCCTTGTTTTTTTATTTAAAATAAAAAAAATGTTACGTAACGCTTTGATCGAACCCCTCCCGCCCCTGTAACGCATCGTAACGTTTTACAAGACCCCCCCTCCCGCCAAATTGCGTTACGTAATGCTTGAACGCCCCCCTACGGACATTAAACCAAAATACAGACACTCAAAATTTACGTAAATTAAATACCGCGTTTCATTTCCAGCTGACCCATAATGATATCAGAAAACATTTTTTCAAAATACGCTCGCTATAAACGACACACCAATTGCTACTGTATTATCAAAAAAAAAACAGAGACTGGTTTTGTACTGGAAGATATGCGAGGGAAACATGGTAACCAATGCACTGTGGAACCGGAAGTCTATGATAGTGCTAAACATTTTATTAATACCCATACCATGGATCGAATCACATTGTCTTAGAGCCTAAATGTCATGGGAGTACATTAAGTGTGATAAATCTTTAGCTGACTTATACCGTGACTACAAAGAAAATTGTACAAAAGAGAACCTACCATCTGCTTCTGCATCTACCTTTTAACCGCATTTTTAATAAAGATTCCAATGTTTCCTTCCACACGCCAAAGAAAGATCAGTGTGATCTCTGCGAAAGTTATAAAAATGCTGACAAAGAAGGAAAACAAAGGATTGTTATAGTTTACGAAAATCACTTGAAAGAAAAAGAATTGTTCAGAAGAGAGAAAGAAATAAAGACAAAGCCAGGGTCGACAACACAATTGTTACTGTTTATGACTGTGTCTGTGATGCCGATATCAAAGGGCCAAATTTATTTTATTACAAAAGTAGGATTAATTGTTTTAACTTTACTGTGAGCGACTTACATGCTAAAAACGTTGAATGTTTCTTCTGGGACGAACACTCTCAAAACGAGGGTGACAATGTGCACAGCGTAATTGAAAAACAAGTAAATCGCTTCCTTAAATCTGGGCCAATCTATGTTCCAAAACAATACGTCACTTTAATTCTGACCGCTAAAAAGACAGGACAACCTTTTAGTCAATGAAATGACTAATGATAAATTTTATTGATCTTAAATTACTTCAAGAGCGGTAGGGTAACAATTATAATGTGAACACAGATAGAAAACAAAATGAATTTCACGACATTAGGGTGCTTCGTGTTGTAAAGGAACATCCAATGACTTTTTTCTATAAGAATTCTTACAAAGATAAAAATTACCATAATTTTTCCGTACATAATACACATCGAGCTGAAAACCAAACTGATTTATTTTCTGTGGGATTGACACAAGCATACACATGTAAGATTTTTTTTATAGGATAAGGGTGACAAACGAGCACGCAGTCCACCTGATGGTAAGTGGTTGCTGTGGCCCATAGACATTAAATTTATCCTCGATTACGAATCAAAATGCAGATGCGTTGTCACCCGTGAGGACTAAGATTGAATGCCTCCTTTCTAGTAAAAAGGGTATCCGGTTCTCTACACTCACCATACGTAACACAGCAGCATTAAGCCGCTATTTTACGCTGGTATTCTGTGAGAGCGTGGTCCTTCCCTGGTCGAGCCGACCCATTCGTGTTACAACTATACCAGAAATATAGCTGCAGCATGGCTCTACTACGTAGAGAAGATACCTTTAAATCAAAATAAAAAATAGACATAAAAGAACTGCTCGACAAAAATATTATTACTGAGACCTATTAAGAACCATACTTTCGAGTTGTGATTGATTAATGTTAACTAATTAAAAAAAGTATTAGTATTAACATTGGGATTTGTAATGCTAATTATTTATAACTAATGCTTTGTAAAACTTGTTTAAGTATACTTATTATAGTATAAATGTTTTTCGCCTAGGTCCAATTTAATGACTACATACCACTACTGTGCAATTACAACACTAATTGATTATTTTTAAGTACCTAAAAGAATAATTATTATATTTTGATTTCCCCTGTTTTTTATACTAAGCCTAATTTTGTTTTTGTTTTGGAAGGTTTATTTTGTTATTTTTATATTTAAGTAAGTATGTACAAATATTTAAATAATGCCTATAATCTCGGCTATCTCTCTAATTTTTAATCTGCGGTCTCCCATTATTAAATCAAGTACTTTTTTAATATTTTCGTCAGTAGTTGACGTCGAAGGCCTTCCAGAGCGGGGTTCATCTTTCACACTCTCTCTACCACGCTTAAATTCTGACATGATGAATATGACAGAGCACAATCGCCTAATGTACTGACCATGTCATCATGGATGGCTTTTGATTATAGCCCCTTCTTATGGAGGTACTTAATGACGGCACGCTGCTCGATTTGCTCCATTCGCGGAAATTATGTCCGATTACTTTGTTAATAAATTTATAAAATCACAACTAATTATCGCACATGTTTCGAACTTCACACAATGAACTAGTCTGAACTGAACGAAATAATGTGGGTAGATTTGATTTTTAGAATTGAATGAATCTGTGTTAGGCCGAGTACTTTTCAATCCACCCTCGTAGTATGTTTGTAGTGATTATATACTCTTTGGGTACGTCATACAAGCGCTATTATAGCGCTAACTATAATGTCATAATTTGTATTAAACTTTAACTAAAAGTTATATGTATTGTAATTTAAAAATTATATGTACCTACCGGTTTTAATTGTTTTTTCTTGATAGCTAATCGATAGTTTGCTTTGCTTTGTGAAACGTTAATCGCCATTTGCTAAATCAATTTAACATTGATCCATCTCTAAACACATAAAACTGTAAGCTGTTATTCACAACATGCTACAACGCAAAGACTATAATTGCTTAATTTACTGAACTGGATTAAAGTTCATAAGTAATAGTAATAATAATACAGAATACAGAAAACATAGACCAATTACATCGGTTTTATTAGTTTTAGAGTTAATTTAAATTTTTATTTTTATTATGAAATTAACTGGCCTGGCACTCCAGGCGTTTTTAATATTTATCTATACTAATATAATAAAGCGGAAGAGTTTTTTGTTTGTTTAAACGCGCTAATCTCTGGAACTACCAGTCCGATTTGAAAAATTATTTTTGTATATTATATCCAGATTCATGTGGAATAGTATAGGCTATCTAGCATTAAGATATATTCAGCTAGCCTTAAATATGGATATTTGTTAAGCAAGTCAGGAGAAAAAGCACTCCCGAAATGATTTATCCGCGTACGCTGGTGTTATCGTTAGGGATACGTAAAGACAATGTTCTTGAAAAATATAGACCTTTACCCCCGTCTAACAAAAAGTCCGCGATACTATATGTCTATTTCTTATACATAAGCCATAATTTGGTATTTTGTGACAAAAAAATATTGAAAATTTAAAAGTGATTTATGAGCGTTATTATTAGGCATGGCCTATTTATCCTTACGAACGAAAGTTACTTCATTATCAAGACAATTTTATGAAGATAAACTTTGTTCTTTATACCATGTTATTTGGACGCATAGTTTAAGAGATAATGTAAAATTAATATAATTCAATACTTGACTGGGCGCGCGAACTAGGTCATGTCGCGCACCTCGGACACGTGATGACGCGGGTGAAACCGCGGGGCACAGCTAGTATCTTAATAATAATGACTCGACCATAACAGGGTTAACCTTTTGGGTTCCGATTTTTTTGAATTTCTTTTTTGTCACTAAACCAACATATTTTATTGTTAATATGAGTAATTTTGGTACGTCAGTATAGAATTTGACTACAGCACCAACATTTTTTTTGCACTTTGCCATGAACCGATGTCTTAACTAAACAAATATATTATGTGAATACCCTCACTCGGTCAAGTCATGTAGAAGTTACCTACTCACTAACAGATAAATGAATGATTATAATTTAAAAAAAGATCTTATTCCTTAATCAATAATATATTCGAAATCTATCTAATTCTAAATATTTCTGTAAGAATACATGCAACAAATAATTTTTCTGCGACGCAAAAAGAGAAATCCTAAATCGCGCGATATATTGACGGATATTAACGCAGACCCACCATAAAACTTGACAATATTTTGAGTTACGTTGTATAAATTTCGATTGGCAGGAGACATTATTTTACACTTTAAACTTGTACTTTATTGTTTTCCTAACTCATATTGTCCGTTTTAATTTACCTCTGATTACACATATTTGCAGTATATCGCTGAACTGTGCCTTTTGGAAGCGGACCCGTATCTTCAGTACAAACCTTCAATCATAGCCGCTAGCGCACTAGCCACGGCCCGTCACTGCTTACTCTGTGAATGTTCGGGCGAGAAGAACACAGAGTCGCGGCTTCTTACCAAATGCAGCCTTACTGCTTGGCCTCCAGCGCTGGCCCATTGCTCGGGCTACTCACTCACAGATTTGGAGCCGTGCCTCCGAGAACAAGCACGCACACACTCGCATGCTCCACAACAACCTTACCAGGCTATACCTGACAAATATAAGAGCAACAAGTAAGTATAGGATTATCATCATTAATAAGACCCTCTGCAGGTGTCCACGCATTTGAACTAAACTGTTTTAACTACTAATTTGCTTCGTCTTTCGTACAGCAAGCGTTTGTTGTTGGCGTCTGTCTTTTCCGTCATTATAATCAAATAATTTACAATAACGCCGTCATAAAATTATGCTTCTTTTAGACTTTTGTTGTTATATTTTAAGAGATTTTTAGGCTATGTATTATTAAATTTCAAATCTTATATTTATTTACGACAAATGATAATTAACAGCTCTTCTGAACCACAACTGGTTCATATAGGAGTGGTTACTCGCTTCGACAGTGTATAGTCACACGCACTTACCTTAGTTATAGGCCTCTATTTGTTCAAGTGTAATGTTTTTAATTATGTTTTCATTCCAGATTCGATGGTGTGTCAACAATCGAGGCTCGGCCCCTATTCCCTGTGCCCAAGTACCAGCAGCCTGCACCAGCAAACAGCGCACGACCCCCCGCCGATTCTAATCGCAACAGCTAGTATACCAATGGTAAATCCTGTTTTAGTTAAATCTGTCAAAAGGCCATACTTTTTTCTTTTCGGTTTTTGCCACTTTTCACAATTGTTACTAGACAATTAGCTATGTAAATAAGTCGATGTTTGAAATAAAACCGATCAAACATTGCCTATTGTGAATCTGAATTTAGCTTCTGTGATAGTAAAATGTGACAACGAACACTCAAGTAAAGATTATAATAAATAGGCAAAAAAATAGGTTAAAAACCCGATTGCTTTTGGATATATTCTTCAAGCATTAAATTATTATTTTTTGCATTGAATGGCATACTTTACATGCTCTTTTTGCTTAGGGAGTTTCGTTTTGAAGTCCTTATTCTGACAATCAAGTTTCTCACTTATAGAATATAGTCTTTCAAACGTGGGCTATCATCTAATGTCTTCCGGTTTTGTCCAAACATACATAAAATACAGAAAGCTGAGTTTAGAACCCGCCTTGCTTGTTGAAGTAGGTTCATAAAACACTAAAATTCAAAAAATGTATGTATATTTTTGACACATTCAAACTTTTTATTCTGTTAATGCCTCTGTTACTCAATGATAACATCGCTAATGATTGTGTTCAAGTTGCAATTACAGGAAATAGCTAGGATGCTGTTTTTATAACCAAAATTTAAGAAGACAATATTGAAAAGTTTCAATAAATCACATAAGATCTGTTGACAATTAAGATAATGTTTTGTTTAAGTTGGAGATGCGACCATGCATTTTATGTATGATAAATTTCATGTGAAATAATATGAAATGTTTGTACGACATGAAGAAGTATGTATGATGAAAAATTGTTGTCTATGGTTTTACATGGTTAATCAAAAAATATACACCCAGTCATAAAGAAATGTTTTAAGAGAAATGCGGTGATTCAAACACGAGTATTACACAAGGAATGTGACAGCAACGGTGGAATTGCATGCTTAATACAAATTAACACAAAAGATACCTCGTATTTATAATATGTGCTTCGATTTTGATATCAGACAATAATTACTTTGAGAATTATAAGTTTTCTGCGAGTTGTTATGCTAGTTTTAGAATTTAACAATTTCCAATGGAAATGAAATGATAATTTCTTGTATGTAATTTATAAGTAAATTTAAGTTAATGACTGTAAAGTCAAACTACTGTGAGCATTCAACATTTCTCGATTAAATTTAATTTTATGTTGTACAGTTTTTACTCAGTCCCTTATAGCGTTTGTTTATTATTACTTATATGCTTACGGTATTGACGATAAATGCAACTTGCTAAGATTTGTATAGCTGTAATTTAAATACCATAATTGTGTTCATTTAATCTATGTGAAATTATCTATCATTTCACCGATTTAAAGGCTTTCAATAAATCTTCCGCGGACTAAGTCATATATTCTTATCAATAATAGATAACGTTTTTATATTGTTTCGAGGACCAAGATATAAACCTAAGTAATATGTTGAAATAATTTACACATTACGTGGGGATCATAAATTAAATGAACGAGTAAATATCATTAGCGCCATAATGGTTTTGGTTACTCTGTATTCAGCCGTGTTTTATGATGTATTTATGTTATACTGAAACATGTTTTTATTATATTTGTATGTGAGGACTAATTTTCATTGTGAACCAAACTTAGTGATGTTATTTTCGTAATACCAATTCTCAGCACTTCATGTTTGTTAGTAAATTATTATTTTTGAGATTTAAGGTATGTTTTTAATGTTGATAATTAGTTTTAATGTAATTTAATATAATCGATATTTTGCTCCAATTTTGCTAATGGAGGTAAGTACGAGTACCTTTTTTGGTAAATAAAAAATATATAAAAAATTGTGTTTTTCCTAATTAAATTTTTTCAATGTTCCACATATCCTTTCTCTCGCGGTGTGAAAGTGGCCAGGTGTGTGTGCGCACTACTTTGATATATAGTTTCCGTTTGAATGTGGCGTGATTACTGTTAGTCAAATATAATCTTTATTGCAAAGGTGTTATAGCTGTTTATTTAATCCCTGTAGGGGGCAAGGAAGATATGCGCTAGACTAACCACGGTAAAATCTATTTGGAGAGCATCTGCGTCATTTCTGTCGGTTGGTCTGAGTGTAGGCGGCAAGCGGATGAATACGAAAATTAATGTACTTAGTAAATTAAATCGATCTTAAAATACTAGTGAATAAGTTTTTAGGGTTACTTTATATTTCAAATAAAATAAAATGCAGTATATAAGTTTCGTAGATTTGTATATTTTTTATCAGAAAATAAATCTCTTAAATCGAATCGTTTCACGTGCGAGGTTTTTTCTTGCTATTTGTACTGTTGAATGTTCGGTGGTTTTGGTTAGGGTGAGAGCTTCTCCTGCGTGTAGACGTTGCCCAATCCTTTTTTAGTCGACGTCCCACCTGTAATGATAAAATATTATTAAAATTCATTAAATTTATGAATTGGTTGCTTTAAATAGTAACTCGCATGCATAATCTGCGGAACTTAAGATTTTATTCCTGTGTTATGTTGGCGCTAATTGCGGTTTGTACAGCAACCGCATTTGAATTTACCGTTTGCGTATGGAAACGTGCTTGGAATTCTAAACGGTCACCAGCTACTTGTGTTATCCGCTACTGTCATACACAATGTTATTTTTATTTACGGGTATTGATTGAAATAGACTAGCTTTCATATTGAAATCCACTCTATGATTAATTTTTATCGATATTGCTGTTAGAAACATGAGTTATTCAAAATCTGTAAGCTAGGTATCAAATTAATATAGTGTGGGTAAAAGTATTGTTGACCCAGAAAATGTTCAAGCTTTTTACATCGATGAAATTCTGAAGATAGGTCAAAGCAGATGGTTCATAAGTTCTATGGTATGGTGTCTCTAAATCTGTTATATAAAATAAGTTATCTATTTCTCATAACAATATCAAGATAGGGAGTAAATCAACAAAGAAGCTGCGTACATATATACTTGAAAAAGCTGTATACATAAGTTCAGATTTAGAATCCACATGAATACAAGTTGCATTTTATTTCTTGTTAAAATTTGAAGAAATTTTCGTAACAAATGAAACTCAACTCGAAATATATAAAAAGGATAAGCAATGGGTTGATTGTAAAAAGTAAAGTTATAGCCTAAACACGTCGCCCCATTTTTGAGAGAATTGAGTTTTAGGCCAAGTGTCCCCGCGATGCCTTAATGCGTAGTACAGATTTCATAGCCTGTACACGTGGTTGTAGGTAAAACTACGCTCTAAGTTATTAACGAACTATGACATGTTGTCAGACTTAGTTCACCATAACTTATTTTTTAATAGAATGGACAGAAACGATCACTATCCATCTGATGTTAATTGGATGCTGTGGCCCATAGCAACCTACATCTATCTCATCTTTGGTAAAACTACATACAACCGGTACTCGTGTACGAGGGTGAAAAGGGTGGGGAGGGTTAAGGGGAAGCCCCCGCTACCCTTCCCCCCTTGAGGAAATGTATAGTTTATGAGTAATAATTTTTTTTGTAAAATCATAACCTCACTTTTTTACACAGGAATATTGACACAAAGTTACTTCTGGAACGGCTTCAGCGCTGCGGGGAGTGCAGCCCCTTCGCCCTTGCGTAGCAAATCACAGGCACCCATGCTCACCTCCGCAGCTTCAGCTTATTGGTTGCCTTCGGCGAGCAGCCTCGGCCGCTACAGCTCACACAGGTGTCTGCGATTTGATACAGCGGGCTGACTACAAAAACACTAGAGATAGGGCAGACAAGACTACGTGGGGTTGGGGCGTTCTGATTCGGTTTTTGTACAGATTCGACCTATCTTAGCTGTAAAGCAGGTTTCCCTAAATTCTGCTATGATAGTAGTAAATAAAACAATGTTATGTGAATTGTAAAAAGTTTGTTGTTTTCCGAAAAACCTCTTAATTGCTCTCCATTCAATTCGTTGTGTATGAGTCTCATCTTCAGCCACAAATGGATTGTCTGGGTCCGAGTAATTAACTTTTTTATGGCTGACCCATTTCGGTATATGCAATTTTAAATTAGTGAAATTTATTTTTATCGTAATTAAACATATTTCCGAAATCCGAAAACAATGTAAAAGCTTCACGCTGACAAAACGAAACTGAAAACATAATTAAAATCAAGTAAGGTACGTTGGGGTAATACCGGACGGATTTTCGAATAGTTGGAAGAGTCTGCCAAAAACTTTAATTTCTCGACATTCGTATACGTCAGATTTATGGAACCTGGAGCAAACCGTTAATCGTTAAACGTAGTTTAGCTCTGAGAATCTTTTGCTTGTGTAAACTCAACGGTTTCTGCTTAGAGAAAAAAGTTTATAAAAGAGATTTGTCCTATATTTAATGCTCAAAAACATATTTCAATATGATCTATAAATTACTAGAAACATAAATGTTCCAAACGATTTTCTCTTTTTTGTTTTTTGCCATCCGATCTTATCCCTGATATAAAGAAATTGTAATTTTATGTTTCTCAAACTTTGTTATGACATAAGATGGAATTACTCAATATAAGAGAAAGATCGGATGCATTTGATTTTATATGGGAAAAAAAATAACAGTAAGGACTGGCGAAATGCCCTGGGATAATGCAGGAGTTAAGGAAGATATAAATATTTTAACAAAGCGGCATTTATTATTATAAATTATTTTTTAAATAATTATTATAAATTACATTTTGATTTGTAATAGAGGATAGATATAGATGTCTATGGGCCGCAGTAATCACTTAACATCAGGTGGACTGTGTGCTCCTTTGTCACCCTTATCCTATAAAAAAAAATGTATTTTAATGTGTACTTAAAAGTAATAAAACCATCGTATTGTTTTATTACTTTTAAATATACAGACTTGCTAACGAGACTGAGTCCCATAGTCACTTGAGTAATCAACGAAAAAATATACACGACCAATGAAAGTTTAACAACCACTGCCATATTTGTAACAGGCAAAGATCGGATAATATTCATCCGATCTTCACTCACGAGGGGAAACATCGGATCTCGGCCTACAGCGATCTTACCCCTGCATGGACCAGCTTTATTTAGGTATAACTTCATAAAAATTTGTATCCACACAAAATAATAACAAAAGAAGCCATATTCTCGCTACAAATCGTAAATAAAAGTGATAGGGAAAGATCGGATGGACAAAAATAATACAAAAATTACATTGTTTTACAAAATGCCACGCAGCACAGGTCCCACTTGCCGGAGTGACTGGCGCGAACTGAGGGTCGGGGCAGGATGAAATGGCGTCGTGTAGCATATTGTTAGCTTTTCAAAATATAGCATAATTCGCCGGGAATTTGAATCCTACGGTCTTGCCCCATCACCGATCTTACCCCAACGTACCTTACTCGACGTCTCCTTCATAATACTAGACCAAATAGAAATATTTGAATATTTTTAATTTTTTAGTGAAATTTATTTTTAACGTAATTAATTTAAAACACATTTCCGACATCCAAAAACAGTGTCAAAGGTTCAAGCTTAACGCTGACAAGCCTCCTACTAATAACATATTTAAAATCATGTGCTGGACGTCTACTTTATAATACTAGACCAACTGACATAATTTGCGTTTCGTTATACGCAATTTTTAGTAAAATTTATTTTTATCGTAATTAATTCAAAACGCATTTCCGATATCCAAAAACAGTGTAAAAGGTTTCAAGCTTTACCCTGACAAACCTCCTAAACTGAAAAACATAATTAAACTTAAGTACCGGTCGTCTATAGCCAAACCCTAGCTTTTATTAAGAATCAAAATGTAGACTTCATTGTTAGCATTGAGGACCGAGATAGAATGCCTGGACAGTTCGATACCAGTATTGACCATTGGTTTGAGAGCATGTTTTTTACGTACTTGCTGGAAGCTATCACAGACCCTTCTCGGAAATCACAAACATCTCTTCAAATATTTGATTATTGGTAAAACAAAGAAATCGCTTGGTGTGGAGGTCTGGATTTTGTGCAGGATGGGTCAAGAGCGCCACCTTTTCAGAAGACAAAAATGACTTCGTCTTGTTCGCGGTGTTCGGGGATGCAGTTTCCCTTTTTCAAAAACACTGGGTAAACAAATGATGGTATACTACTTAGTATAACTTTCTTTTGCTCATCAAGTCAGATCGTGCAGACAGGACCGTCTAAGAGAAGAAAAAACGCGATGCCGTGATTTTTTTTATTGGTACGGGTGACAAACGAGCACACAGTCCACCTGATGGTAAGTGGTTACTGTGACCCATAGACATCTACATCTATCTTCAATAAAGACTCAAGATGCAGATGCGTTGTCACCCGTGAGGACTAAGATAGAATGCCTCTTTGCCAGTAAAAAGGGTCTCCGGTTCTCTACAGTCACCATACGAAACACAGCAGTGTTAAGTTGTTATTTACGCTGGTTTTCTGTGAGAGCGTGGTCCTTCCCCGGTCGAGCCGACCCATTCGTGCTAGAACCATAATATAGCTGCAGCATGGCTGTGCCACGTAGTAAAACTGTGATTCTCGTAACATTTTATTTACACCAATTGACTCAAACCCGTTTTTGTTCTGGAGTAAGTTAATCATGAATTCAGCTGGGGATGGGCAAGTGAAAAAAAATATCGACAGTTATCGCGTGATAAATATCGATATATCTTCACGTTTTGCATGATGTAGTAGTTAGTATAAGGAGTAAGGAAAAATTTTATTACTGGACGTTTTACATGAATGCTCTTGTTGCTTAATGTTTTGTCTATTAAAAATATATCGAAATTATTACGAATTCGATACTCTGAAATAAATATCGTATATCGATAAAAATATTGACCATAAATATCAATAAAATTTATGAAAAAATTTCGATATATCGATATTTTTTATCAAGCCTTAATCAAGCAGCAACAGTCTTCTAACTTTTAAATGTTGATGTAAAAAGATTGAATTCAGCTAATACTAATGCACAAAAATGTCTTTAAATCACCTCGCGTGTGAGGCGCTGTTTTTTTTTTAATTAGTCTCCTGACAACATTTACTCAGTCATCGCAGTTGAGGGTAAACCTTTACGAATATCATCATGGATAGAAATAGCCACGCATAAATCCTGCGCACTGACGCCTTACGGTGCTCAAATGAAGTGCCTACCCTCTTAACCGGTTCAGTGCGGGTGACACGCCAAGCGTGTCTTTTTAAAAATCGTTATAACTCGCTCAAATTGCCTTTTTTGAAAATTTATCCAGAACAAAATATTCATTATTTTGCGAGTAGTTCATGCATGCGGCTTCGTTTCTGGATATTTTGAAAATTTGAAATTTTTAGGGGTTGACAACCTTTTTTTAACGTGTACATGGTACTATTTTTACTTTGTGGGTTTTAAATTATTTTATGGAAAAATTGTCTAATAA